GTGGCTGAATTTTACGGAGACTTGCCACGGTCTCCAACCCTCCTCCTTTCTCATCCGGGTTTGGGACCGGAGATGGCGGAGTTCCCTACGACCATGTCACGGTGAATATACGGCATCCCACGAAACTAGAAGTGTAAAATGCGTTCCTGCAGCTCAAGATGACGAATGCCTGTGGATTGGTCGAATTTCTCCAAGGTTAATTAAATGTCAGGAAACTGAAGTGGTAGAAAAACTCATAACTCGAAACGGCGTATTTCATCAGTGTTATCTTCATCTTCCACATCCACTTCTCTTTTTCGGTCGAGGAAGCAGACGCGTTAAACAGTGCTTCCAACGTTCCTGATTCTATGTCAGAGTCCGAGCTTCACCAGAAGACAGCTGGCGTCTGGAGCAGACTCCTTACATATGTTTGCAGCAGGTTAATCTTGGCCATCCCCTGGGCCTTCTGCCGGTTGGCTGGGCAAGGAATAGTTGCTTTGCCTTTTTGGAGGCAATCGCAACACCTGCCGAAACCATCGCAGTTGTGACTTTTTAACCTGAGGAAGCAGCGGCTGTACACCATGGCCCTCGCGAATGTCTGTATTCCGGACCAAGTCGAAACGCGCAAGGCCAGCGATTCGTCTCAAAAAGTCCATATCAGTCGCTTGTACCCGGGATCTAAGTCTCTCAGTCCTGGTCCACGACTCATGACCGTTTGTAAGCATGAGGATAGAGATCGACTTGAATACCGAGAGCTTAGTTTTTAGACTCAGCTCTACTTTAGTCACCGGTCATGGTTCAGGCGAGTTCACTAAGAACACACTGGCTACTCCATTCCGGCGGTCGATCTCTTCCTCAAATTTTCCATCACCAGTAAATACGACCTTGAACTTCTCCATCTGTTCCACTGCCTCTAGTTAATATGATGAAGACAGCAGCGGACAGCAGAACGAGAAGACACAAATCTTTTCGTTTTAGATACGTTTACAAGCATGCTCTCCATGTGGTACTCGACTGCGAACCTTTACAGCGAGCGCTGTAAACCGCTGTTGGTTGGGTTCGCCGAGAACAGTTCGAAAAGAATCCAAAAATGGAGTCCAAATCCATATATATATATATAATTGCAACGTATGCATCCCCATCGCTCCTCGATATCAGTTTTTTCCCATAGAAAATTTAAATTCAAAAATATTAGCAGTAGTTTATCATTCATTCATTTATCATCATTCATTTTAATTTCTTTATTTGTTTCCAGCGCAGTTTTGGGAAAAATGTATGTTGCTTTTGCTGGACGTGCCATGGAATCCACTGTCGTTGTTCTACGTTTCGCACGTGCTTGCTGCGCTTGACACCTCAGCTGTCTGCTATCAGATTCCGACCGGTTATATCCTGTAAGTTTATGGGTTGAACGTCTGTTAGTTAAACCTTGCAGCATATTTCAGCCGCGTGCTTAATAAAGTGAATGTTCTGCCGCCATTTGCACGTACTTGCGTTCAGACGAAGATGATCGCAATACTAATGAAGACAATTGTTTACAGCTACGAATCTCTGCTAGAATTCGCATCTGCGGTTGTTCCTTTGCTACCCAGTTTTTTGATCTCGCGCACGGTCATCTTTTGGAAG